GTAGACGTGCCGGCCAAAGGTGACAACTGAGACACAGACCTATAAGCTGTGTACCCGTGGAAATAGACATGAGCTTATCATGATAAACGTGTACGTGTGGAGAGGCGCAGATCCCCTGACACGGTCATGCATGCACACAGCTATGACATTTGCACTTAGACCCAGATGGACACCCAGGGAGGGACATTCCCTCAGAAATGATCATATATATCCAGAGAGAGCTGAGTACATGCATATCCATAGACATCGAGACACATGTCTACGCAGAGGCAGCAGTAGGTGTGATCCGTGTGCATGCACAGAGATGGGAACGTGTGCAAAAGAATGGCTCTGAATGCACGGTGTTGGGTGCAGTTGCAAAGGGCATATGCACATGCAGAAACGGACAGTCACCCACAGAGAGATTAGTGTACTTGGTGCCTGATGCATAGACGCCAAGAAGGGTTTGTGTGCCCGAGGAAACAGCACGACCAGCTGATGGCACAGGTGCACCCCGAGACAGACAAATCTGCACAGTGACGGAGACAGGTACCCCCACCCCAGACATGTTCACAACACTCCTCAGGGGCCTCCCTTGTGTCCACTAGGTGTCTGCGGCATGGCAGTGCCAGTCATGGGGAGGAGAGTCATCCCTATGCCAAGACACCCCCTGGAAGTTTGAGAGTGTGTCCCCAGGGCTTGGCTGTGGGAGTCTGCACAGCCTGGCACTGGAAGGCCGCCGGGCCACTGGGGTTGACTGTCCTGTGGGCGGCTTGGGCACTCACTAAGGACCCTGGTGCGCAGGCTAAGGACAGCCTTTCTTCCTTCTCCACCACCTCCCCTGGGGACAGGGAGAGAAGCTGAGGCCAGGCAGCTGCTGGTAGGGAGCGGCAGCCCGGCAGGGGAGGCCCCACGCAGAGGAGACGTCCAGGAGAGATGAAAAGAACATGGAAGCTGACCCGAGGTCTGTGGAGCCTTGGGAGTCTGCACAAACGGAAGGCGGGAGGAGAGAGAGAGCACGTACTCGAGCTTAGCGCTGGCCCTCTCCGCACTCCACGTGCCTTCACCCGTCTGGTCCTCACAATGCCCGACAGGTGGCCACGGTTCTCCTCTCACAGCTCAGGAAACAAGGGCTGGAGAGGCAAAGTGACTTGTCCAAGGTCACACAGCTAGTAGCTGCCAGAGCTGCAGTCTGAACCCACATGGTCTTGGTTCTAGGAGCTCCGGGCAAAATCACAACACCAGACACCCTGCCATCCCCCTGGGCGGGGGTAAAAGCACACGCTTTGGACACAGATGAGCATGGGCTCAAATTGACAGGGACACCTCCTAGTGTGTTCCCGAGCAGTTCAATCCACCAATGGCTGCTGAGCACTAAGTGTGTGCTAGGGGACGGTGTGCAGCCGGGACGGAGAGAATGAGATGGTGGGCTCTGGGCTAAGCCCTGTGTGGGGCACTGGAGCGAAAGCCCTAGAACACAGGATGTTTGCAGAAAAGCCAGGTGGTCCTTTCTGTGCTGCAGGTGCTCCCAGGGAGCGGGCACTTTCCCAGCTTGGGGTAGGGCCAGGACAACTCCCTGGAGGAGGTGGTAACCTTCTGAAGGATGAGTAAGAGTCTGTCAAGAGATGATGGGACAGAAAGAGGGGCAGTTGAGGCTCAGGGCGCAGCACATAAGGAGTGAGGGAGATGCCGGCAGCTGGGATGGGGGCAGGAAAGACAGGAAGGAAGCCTGGGGTGTCCTGAAGAAGCAGGAATGCCAAGCAGAGGACTTGGGGTTTTATCCTGAGCAGAGGGGTGATGCGGTCAGATCCGTGTTTTGGAGAGATGAGGGCAGAGAGCAGTTTGGGCGCTGGCCAGGGAGGTGGGCAGACAGGAGCCAGGTGGTGAGTGTGGGGAGCGGTGGTTTCAGAAGTTGTTTCAGAGCCTAAAGTGCTCGCCAAGCTCAAGTACAGAACTGAAGGGAAGGGAGGCCGAGGCAGCTGCTACATTTCCGGCTCGGTGGGTTGGCCGTGCCACCACCTAGAATTGGAAACCCCAAAGGAGAAGCAATTTTGGGGGTGGGGAGTGGCGATGAGTTCGCTGTGGGTTTTGAGGGGCCCGAGGGGCACTCTGGTGGTTACCGCCGGTTGCCTGCCCAACAGCTATCTGTGCCTTGCACTTTGCTGACCAAATCCTCGTTTTTTTTGTGGCAGTAATATGCCCACAGCCCGGTAGACCCTAGAGGAGGGAGAGGAGGAGAGAAAGGGAAGACACAGCCTTCAAGAAGCCGGGCTCTGAGAGCCAGCAGATGGGTAGGGTGCGAGCTGAAGGGGGAAACACAGGCTCATGGAAAGTGTTTGTATCCCAGCCACCCCCATGACGCCTAAATGGGGATGGGAGAAGAGCAGCCAGGCAGGCGAGGCCGGGGCCCTGGAGAATGGGGAGCTAATGCAGGGTTAGGTCCCTACGGCAGTGAGAGGGGCGGGCTCCGGGCACAGGAGGGGAATTGGCCTCGGACAGGATGTGGAACCACCGTTCCCTGAGGTTGGAGGGAAGAGACGCGTGAGCACCGGGAGACAGGGTGAGGGCTGTGAGATGAAGGGGTTTCTGCTTTACGTCTTTTTCGCTCTGCAGGAGGGGCTGGGGTTATCTGTAGGGGGAGACTGGTGGCCATCTGGGATGATGTCCGTGGAGGGTCAGAGAGAGAGCCACCTAGGGAAACACGGAAAGGCTGGGGGGTGGAACTGAGACCCAGGAAGGGCTGGAGATGCTGAAACAGTGCTAGTGCCGCCGCATGGTGATGGCATGCTGCCCAGCAGTGCTCAGAAGCCCAGACCCGCAAGGGAGTGTGCGGCCAGCTGGGCTGATCCAGCGGATGTCTTGAAAGAGCAGGACGGCCCTGACCTTGGAATCTAAGCCCAAGAGAGAAGATGGGGCAAAGGGTATGCCAGGTGTGGGGAGAAGGGCAGGGAAAGAGACCAGAGGTTGCAGGGAGCACGGGAAGAGATGCCTGTTTCAGGGGTGGAATGAACATTTCAGAGGTGAGTGATTCCAGGGATAGCAGATCAAGGGTGAAGCCGCACTAAGGGCGACAGTCTTCTGTCCTGCAGGACTCCGCCGATGCCGCCATGGCCCTGTCCACACCCCTGGTTTTCACCATTCCTGGGCATGCAAACAGCTTCTGCCTGCAACCCCTGCACTTTTGGGCCATTTCTCACCCCTCACGGGAATAACGTGGGGCCGTAGTCTACACCGTCTCCCAGAGGCACTCATGGGGGTGGAGCCTCAGTTGTCCACAGTGGCAGTGGCTCATCACCATGCCCTCAACTGGCTCCTTCTCATCCCTGACTCACTTCCCCATGCCCCTCCCTGTGCTTCCTGGGATCACCTCCCAAATAAGCTACTGGCCCCTGAATCCTTGTCACAGGGTCTTCCTGTGGAGCGACTCGACCCAGGACAGTGGGCTCAGACCCTTTAGGTGTTGGTTTCCTCCCCTGTGAGGCAGGGAGTCTACCGTGTGCCTGTGACGTTGGAAGGGCACACGCGCATGGGCATGAGGCTCCTGGCACCAGGCCCCAGCACTCAGCAGGCACTAGGTCAGCACCCTCTCTCATGCACACAATGGGGGCGATAAAATCTCCTGTCCCCTCAGATGGCTCAGGACAGCAGAACCTTTCTGTTGCTGCCAATCAAGCCCCAAAGGTAAGCCAATCCCTCAGGCCCAACCATCCCCGATGCTCTTTGCTGAACACCTTCCAGGTGGCCTCCCATGCTGGCAGCAAAGGGCTCCCTGGGGACCTCCTGATACAAGGATGGGCCAGAAGCAGCAGGTGGTCTGGCAGATGGCCCTCTGAGTTCCTCTGAGGTAAATAAAAATCATGCTTGCTCCCAAGCACAGAGCGAGGCGCCGGCTCATCTAATCCCCGCAGCGGACAACAAGCTACTAGCTTTCTCCTCTTCGTGCTCGGGAGACCGGGCCTCAGAGAGGTTGGGCCACTTTCCCAGGCTGCCCCAGCCCGGCAGGAGTGGCAGAGCCAGGAATCAGACCTTGTGGGCCCAACCAGAGCCCAGGCTCCTCACTGGGAGGCAGGAGTGTGCCGTGTTTCCCTCGGATGCCCTGTGCAGGCTCTGCGCAGCGAAGTTGCTGGGGAACGAGCGCTGGGCTGAACAGAACCAAGTACGGCTCCCAGAGGAAGTAGAGCCTGTTTCCTGTTGGACACAGAGCCCTTGAGGGCGTTCCCGCAGCCTCGCTCCTAACACCCAGCCTGGCACAGAGTAATGCTCGGGCAGGGTTTGTGGATCAGTTGAGGAGGGAATATCTAATATTCCTGGCCAGAATTTACACTGTGGCCCGGATCCATGGTCACTTTAGGAGATGCACAATACAATTTTCCCATTCTGTTATTCCGGCTGCTTTCTTCCATGAAAATAGAATTTTCCCTCCTCAGCTGCCCTCAGCCTCCTTTGCCCTCCCTCTGAGCTAATCTAAGCATGTCTGAAGGATGCCTTTCCCACTTGTCCCACTAATTAGAAGGTCCCTTCAGCTCCTCCGTGGGTGGGCATGGGACCACCATTGGGCTGCAGCATAGGTCACAGCCTGCCATTTCCTACAGGCAGGGTTGAATGGCCCCACTGGACAGATGAGTAAGACTGAGACCCAGAGGAGCTAGATGACTCGTTCAAGGCCACCTGGCGGGCTAGAGGCTGACTGAGGGTGGTTGCCAGATCTGCTTAGCCCCAACACTCATGGCCTTTCTCCATCACCAAATTCCCTTCCCGCCCTGAGGTGCGTCCTTTCCCGATCCAGGGCAGCCAGTGCAGATCTCAGAATGTGTCAAGCCGGTGACACTAGATCCGTCACCTCAGGGTGGAATGAAGGAAGCACCTGGGGATCAGCTTACTAATTCGAGGGGCCGATGAATTATTCAGGCCACCATTAACTTGGAGGCCCTCTCAGACTCATTTCCCTTCCCCCTGCTCCAGACCCTCAGATCCTGACCTGCCCCGAGCTCTGCAGACCCGTGGGGGCCCCCAGTGAGGGGATGCTGGCAGAGCTGGGGTCCTGTCTGCTGCTGGTGGTGGTGCTGCTGGGCCCAGGTCCCAGGGCCCATGCTATGAAAGGTAGGAGCTCTGGAGGACACAGGCAGGCTCTGTGATGGGGGGTGGGGGGGTCGGGGGGTGGCCAGGTGGCTGCCAGGGTCTCAGGAGGTTTCTATGTGGGAGGCCAGAAAGCAGGAGGCCTTTTTGCGGGGAGTTGGCTGAGTTGAGGATGTATTTGCTTCTGAGATGGTAAAAGACAGTATTTGCAGAGTACCTGCTATGTGCCAGATGCTTTACAAATACAATTGCATTTAATCTTCAGGACAAACCTCAAGGTGGGTATGAGTCCTCCATTTTACAGTTGAAGGAACTGAGGCAGAGAGAGGTTCAGTAACCTGTCCAAGGAGGTATAGTTACCAAGGGCTGAGGGAACGGCTCAGAGGCAATGGAAGGTTTATTGCTGGAGGAAGTCTTTACCCTCCTCCTGAGAGCCTGCTGCACTTCCCCACCACCAGCCAGGTGAAATCAAAGTTCTTCCTGATGGCATTCGGCGTCCCCCAGGTTTGGCCCCAATTCTCTATATAATATCCAGCCTCGGTCCCCTGTGTCCTTTGGGCACCCCGAGCTCTGGCAGAGGATCGTACCCCCTTCTGGAAATGCTTCACCCTCTGTGTGGAAGGTCCCTGTTCTCTTTTGCCTTCGGAGAACATGTGGCTCATCTATCAAACTTGGGTCAAACACTACCTCCTCCAGGAAGCCTTCCACATCCTTCCATCAGCCTCAGAGGCTCCCTCCTGGGAGCTCCCAGAACCCTGTGCTAGCACCCTGGCCCCAGGTCGCCTCATGCTGCTCCGGCCCCATTGTGTTGTGTGCCGGTCTGTGAAGCAGTCATCAGTTCACTGGACTTCAAGGGGCGTGCATGTTGGGGGCGCTCAGCAAGCAGCCCTCAGTGCCTCGTTTTCCTGCAGGCTCAAGTGGGGCTCAAAGAAGGAAAGGGAATGTGCCAGTCACCTCTTCAGTGGCGGAGGTGGGCTGGGTCCCCAGGCGTCTCACTCCTTCCTGTAGGGGAGAAGCTAGCTGTTCCCATTTTCTAGCCTCCGGAGCTATAGTGGCCCAAGGGTGATCCTGGGGTTCAAGGGCGTCTGGCTGAGTCCCGGAGGGCAAGGCCTACACTTGTGCTGGCACCTGGGACCTCCTTGGCCACAAGAATTCTGCTCCAACACTCCAAGGGCTTTTCCTGTCCCATGGGCAGGGCTGGGGGAAGGACAATGACAGGCACCGGACAGAATATCCCTCTGTCCTCTTGCCATAAAGGCATGCATCAGACAGGGTTCGTGCCGGGCGTGCCGCAGGGGCCGACAGGGAGCCGACAACCCGAGCTGGGTGTGCATCTGAGGCCCTTGAAGGAGAAGCTTTGTCTCATCAGTGCTCACAGCCACCCCATTTCACAGATGCGTGACTGAGGCTCAGGGAGGCTAGGTGACTGTGAGTACGTGCCATCTCCTCCCCCCAAATTGTCCCCAACTAACGACCTTCTTGTCCCTCCTGGTCAGACTCAAACACCACCTTTCCTGTGAATCTTGTGCCCCCATCCCCCCAACAGTGCTGGCCCAGCAAGATTAGCCCCCGTCCCTCGGGTCCCTGTGGCATTGCTGACCGCCCTCCCGTTCCACAGTGCGCTCCCCGGGAGAGCCCCGTGCTGAGTCAGCCCGGGCCCAGTACAGGCTTTTTGACCTTTTCAGTAAACAGAGCTAGGAAATTAAATTTTTTTTTTTAGAAACAAAAATAAATCTTAAATTCATACTGTCTTTAATTCAAATTGAAGATCACAAGCGTTCTATTTAATTTTTTAATTTTATGGTTGTATCACTCTCTTCTTACACGGAACATCTTAGCTCCTATTGACATTAGCAGACATGCTTTATTCCAATTTATAAAATACTGTAAAATAGCAGTACTGACTGTTATTACAAATAGTAAGTCTCCTGAGTCAAGTTTCAGACTTCTCTGCTTCATTTTGTCCCGGGGATATATCCCACTAGGAATGTACAGTCAAAAAAGTATATTTCCAAGTCATTTGAAATCATTTCCCCCCATGATGAATGTGCCTCCAACTTGATATATGTGTATATGATATTTGTTTCAGTTTGGGACTTTTAAAAAATATTTGTGTTTTCTTTTTAAAGATTTTATTTATTTAATTGAGAGAGAGCCTGAGCATGCGCGCACAAGCGGGGTGTGGGGGGGTGGGGGAGGAGGGGCAGGCTCCCCGCTGAGCAGGAAGCCCAACATGGGGCTCGATCCCAGGACCCTGCGAGGATCATCACCTGAGCCAAAGGCAGACGCTTAACAGACCGAGCCACCCAGGCACCCCCAGTTTTGGATTTTTAGGGGTTACTTAAAATGGTTTTTTGCTAATTTAAAAATTATATTAAAAGTCATTCATGAGGGGCGCCTGGGTGGCTCAGTCATTAAGGTCTGCCTTTGGCTCAGGTCATGGTCCCAGGGTCCCGGGATCGAGCCCCGCATCGGGCTCCCTGCTCAGCCTATGCCTGCTTCTCCCTCTCCCACTCCCCCTGCTTGTGTTCCCGCTCTCCCTGTCTCTCTCTCTCTGTCAAATAAATAAATAAAATCTTAAAAAAAAAAAGTCATTCATGACTATAAAGTCAAAATTATAAAACAGGTCTCATTGAAAAAGGTCTAGCTTCATGCCTGTTTTCCTCCCCTCTGTTTACTCCTTCCCCTGACAGAGAATCATTTTTATTAGTTTCCTTCCATTGTTTTCTTTTTTTAAATATAAGCAAATACGCGCATATAAGAATGTACTTGTGACACTACAGTAGGGCTGTGCGCATCCTCACTGAGGGTGGGGTATTATCATTTGTAATTTTTAAATTCCCTACGGTATACGCCTAGGATCTGGCATATGGTACTGTTTTATCTAAAATTATAGATCTGCCCCAACATTTCTGTCTCCTCTCCCTGCTTTATTTTTCCCCATAGCACTAATCACTCTTCAATATGCTCTGTATTTTATTCAACGTGTTTATCATCTGTGTTCCCCAATCAGAACCACCCAGGAGATTCCACAAAGGCAAGAATTTTTGTCTGTTCTGTTCCTGCTGAAACCCCAGCACCTAGAACATTGCCTAGCACTCAGACGGTATTTGTTGAATGAATAAAAGAGTGCTTGATAAGTATTTGAGGATTAAGCAGATGAATGAGCAAACATGTGCATCAGTGAATTGATTTAGGGTCATGGCCTCATGCTCCCTCACCCCATCCCGAAGACTGTGGCCAGGTCTGTGGCCGGGTCTACCATCCAGGACCCCAGCACTGACTGAGCCATTCTTCCCTCCTGCCCCAGGTATCAAATGTGGGGGTGTGCTCTCAGCACCTTCCGGAAACTTCTCCAGCCCCAACTTCCCCAGGCTCTACCCCTACAACACAGAGTGCAGCTGGCTGATTGTGGTGGCCGAGGGCTCCTCGGTGCTGCTCACTTTCCACGCCTTCGACCTGGAGTACCACGACTCCTGCAGCTTCGACTACCTGGAGGTGTACAACGGGGCCTCGGGGGACAAGGGCAGCCTGCTGGGGAGGTTCTGCGGCCGGGTGCCCCCACCACCCTTCGCCTCCTCCTGGCACGTCATGTCTGTCGTCTTCCATTCAGACAAGCACGTGGCCAGCCGAGGCTTTTCTGCCGGCTACCAGAAAGGCAAGGGGGACCTGGCAGGGAGAGGGGGGCCCTGTGGGGGCCGGGGGGAGGAGAGCCGTGGGCTGAGGCGAGGCTTGCTGGCAGCTTCGGAGCCTCGGTGGCCCTGCTGCCACAGCTCAGGGACAAGAACAGCTTCCAGCGGTGGTCATGGTGGTTGTGGGTTCCCACCTTCAGGGCAGCAGTCCTGGGAGCCCTGGGAAGGTCTCACTGTATCCAGGAGCAAGGCCTTTTGTGCTCCCTATGGTCCTTCTTATCCCATGACATGGCATCAGGACGAAGGAGAGGACACCAGGCTGCCCCTGCTGCCCGTCCCTCTGCAGCACCCCATCATTTACGAGCGCAGGGACCCCTGGCGCCCCACCCCAAGTCCTCTGGAGTAAAAGATGCACGAGGGCCATCTGTGTGGAGCCGGTGACACGCTCCCTCCCCAGGCTTTACCTAATGCCTCTTACGTTGTGGATCCCTAACCCTCCCTCCCTCCACCTGGAAACCTGCCCCTTAGTCTAGTGAGGGGAGCAGAGGCTTTGCTCTTCTCAGCTTTCCTCTTGTCTCCAGGCCTCTCTGCACACACTCAAACCTCCTCCCTTCTCCCAGGGCCCAAACCCAATACCTTACTTGTGTCCGCTTAAGCCACAGACAACCACAGAGGCTCTTGGGGCGCAGGGTTCCCCATACAACAGTCGGAGGGCCCGGGTGGGGTGCCCCTCCCTGAGCTGGCTTTTGAGGCACAGAACTGCGGAATGCCAAAACACAAGAATCACAGACTGATCTCATCACAGTTTTGGAATTTTAGACTCTTTGGTTTTTAAAATGTTAGGATATCAAAGTCATAATACCATAAGCAATGTTTTCCAACATTTTATTTTATTTTAAGATTTTATTTATTTATTGGACAGAGAGAGACACAGCGAGAGAGGGAACACAAGCAGGGGGAGTGGGAGAGGGAGAAGCAGGCTTCCCGCGGAGCAGGGAGTCCGATGCGGGGCTCGATCCCGGGACCCTGGAATCATGACCTGAGCCAAAGGCAGACGCTTAACGACTGAGCCACCCAGGTGCCCCTTTTCCAGCATTTTTAAAAACAGGAGTGCCATTATAGCAAATGGAAACTTAGGTTAATCCTTTATATATAAAAAAGATAGAGGCAGTATTTTCTTGGTATGCATTTACTGTATTTTTTAAGTTCATATTTTTAACATTTACTTATTATAAGCCAATCACTGAAAACATAAGTCAATATGGATGGCCTCCAGTGAGTGAAATTTTTATATATGACCTGTGACCTGTGGATGCTGTTGTTCAGCGCATTAAAGAGCTTGAATACAGCATAGGAGTGAAATTTGCCCCACTTGCAGGCCAATGGATGCCCCAGGGGGCTGCTGCAAAGCTCCGGAGCACAATTCAAAAGCTTCTGCTAAGTGTGTTCACATGGAAAAGGATCTCACAGACTGTCAAAACCTGCCCTCTCATTTCACAAACAATAAAGTTAAGAGTAGAGAGGGAGTGTGCCTTCCCAAGGTTACAAGGCTGAAAGCACGAACACTGGGACAAGAAGTCTTAGCACCCAGCCCAGAGCAGAGCTAGGTTCACAAAGCCAAGCCCTGGGGCGAGGTTCTTGGCGTCTTGGGAAATAGCAGTGTGCCCCACCCTGCTGGTGCCTCCAGCCGGTCAGGGCATTCATCATCAGCCACCTCCTGGCTGGATTGGCAGGGCTGGGTTCCAAAAGGGTTTCATCAGCCCTGGAGATTCTGCATGAGCCTGCACCTGGTGGATCAGGCTGGGCAGGTCTTCCGACCCTCGTATTCCCATGAGGCTCATGGAGGCTGGGTCACTTGCCCAGGGTCACACCCCTCCGAGAAGACAGAGCTGAGGACCGACACCCGTCTTCAGGCTTCAAGCCCATCTCCACTTCACCAGACCCTCTCTCCAAGCCTCGGTTTCCTCTGTCAGGGAGCTTTGAGAATATTGCTGAACTCGGGCACCTCAGCCTCTGTGCCCCACAGGCCTGGTAGGAAAATCACAAGGTCAAGTGCCCAGGCTCTGCAACCAGGCAGTTCCTGCTCTCCCCATTACCAGCTGGGTGGCCTGCCGTCAGGGCCCCACCCAGGTTCCCGGGGACTCATCACTTCAGTGGCTCCTGCCAACCTCCATATCTCTACGTGAAGCTTTGTTCTCAAGTCTACTTCGGCAGGTCACCTCTATCCCCACAGCCCTCGGCCTGGACTCTTGGGAGCTGGTGTACAAATGCCCCAGCTCCCTTTGTCTCAGGTGACATAACCCTGAGGTGCGTGCCTGACGCCATTTCCCCAGGATTCCCCAACAGGGCTCGGCAGCTGGCTTGACATGCCTTTTATTGGCCCTTATAGCTCCCAAATAAACTCCTTATGCTCATACCCTTGTCTCAGGGTCTATCTGGGTGAACCTAGACTCCCCCAGGTAAGTTACTTATCCGTGCCTCCATTTTTGCAACCATAGAATGGGGAGAACCACTGTGCATTCCCCTAGGGTGATGGTAATGGTGTCAAAAGACAGCGTCGGCGCCAAGTGCCAGGTCTGTGCCTGCCATACAGCAAGCACTCAGTGGATGGTGACGAGGTTTCCATGAGATAGATACCCATGGGGGGTGGCACGTTGAGGGGTGTCCTGTTCCCAAGGGAGGGGGTTGGGGGGCCACGGGGAGGAAGAAAGGTCAGCTCAGGAGGGCTTCTTTGCAGATGTGTGTGGTGGTGTCCTAATGGGCCTTTCAGGGGTCCTTACCAGCCCTGAGTACCCGGACAACTACCCCAACAACGTGGAGTGCCACTGGGTGATCCACGCCTCCGGCCCTGCCACTGTCAAGCTGGTGTTCGTGGACTTCCAGGTGGAGGGTAGTGAGGAGTGCACCTATGACTACGTGGCTGTGCTTGGGGGGCCTGGCCCCGCCCGCGGGCATCACTACTGTGGCAGCACCCGGCCCCCAACTCTTGTGTCCCTGGGCCACGAGCTGCAGGTGGTCTTCAAGTCTGACTTTAACATTGGAGGCCGGGGCTTCAAGGCCTACTACTTCTCAGGTAGAAGGGGCTGGGGCTATACCTCGAGGCCCCTGTGCATGCTGTGCATGACCCTGCCTGGCCAGTGCCAAGGCGTAGCATGTCACCTCCTCTGTGAAGTCTTCCTGATTGACTCAAAATTAGTCCGTCCTTTCAACTCCTCCTGGAGTTTTTTCTTTGTTTTTTTTTTTTTTTTTGCAGCAACGATCTAACACTTATCATTTATGTACGTGGCCGGCACGTTGATTTCCCCTGACTGTGAGTTCCTATGGGTTTGTCTCTGTACCTGCCACATAGAACGGATTCAGTCAATGTGTGTACAAATGAATGAATGAACTAGAGAGTGGAGGAGATGGAGAAAGAAATAGACAATGACAACCCACTGTGGTCTTTGTTAACAACAAGAATCATGGATGACTTCCTGGAGGAGGAGAGAATTGAGTAGTGCTTTGAAGGAGTTAACCAGAGGCAGAAGGAAGGGAAGGGTATTCCAGGCAGAGAGATCAGCATGCGCGAAGGCAGGGAGGACAGAGAGGGTTTAGTGTGCTCGTATGCTACGAGGTGTTTGGGGAGGGTGGAAGTTAGAGCTGGATGAGGGGCAGTGAGGAAATGAGCAAGGTCATGTCATGAGCCAGCTTGTCTGTCAAGTCCAAGTTTGGACTCAACTCTGAGGACAAGTATTAGGTCTGGTTATTGAATTCCTAACCAGACCAGCACTCGTGAAGTGGACTGCCAATTGGAATGAGAGTCTTGGCCTTCAGCTAGTTTCTGTTTAAAGCAGGCTTTGGGATCCATTGTCTGGTTTGCCCACCACGGTGCCCACCACCTGCCAGGGTGGTTTTAGGACCTTTCTGGGGCCCTCTGCCCAAGCTGTACTGCAGAGGGTGACAGTCCCCACCCTTCTCATTGTGGTCCCTTCTGTCCTCCTCTCCCCAACCCAGGGGAATGCCAGGAGGTATACACGGCCGTGCGGGGCAACTTCTCCAGTCCCCAGTACCCCAGCGCCTACCCTAACAACATTCACTGCCACTGGACCATCCGCCTGCCTCCAGGCTACCGGGTCAAGGTGTTCTTCCTAGACCTGGACCTGGAGGGTCCCAACAGCCTGACCAGGACCTGTGACTTCGACCATCTGGCAGCCTTCGATGGGGCCAGCGAGGAGGCCTCCCTGCTGGGGAATTGGTGCGGCCACCACCTGCCAGCACCGGTCACCTCGAGCCGCAACCAACTTCTGCTTCTACTGCACACGGACCGCAGCACCACCCGAAGGGGCTTCTCCGTGGCCTACATTGGAGGTCAGCTGGGGTTGAGGGTGTGGGCATGCTGATGGCGGGGCGGGGAGCAGTAAGGCTGGGGTCCTTTGCAGCTTCCTCCCTCCATCCCACCGCTGGTCTTCTCCGGCCTTTTCTCGGGTGGCTACAGCACTGCGAACTGCTGCCCTGGGACCCCTGGGACCACACCAGTGTGGCCCTTTCTTATTTCCACCCTGCAGAGCCCTGCCTTTCCAGCTTCCAACTCCACGTGCCCTAATTCCCCCATCTCTCTCCTTCCCCCTTGGGCCCCTGGCCTCTCTCCTGCTGTGGTTTATCCTGCGTATCCAGGGGTAGTACGCAAAATATGGCCATGTTACTTGTGATAAACAACTGGCATAACCATGGAGATGTCAACAAGCTTTGCTTATATCGGTCGTAAATCCTGACTGCCGGTGGCTTCAACAAGTGGCTTTTGTTTTCCTCACATAACAAGAAGTCTGGAGCTAGGGAGCTGCTTTGTTAGTTCAGGGACTTAACACTGTCTCAGCTGGTATCTCTGGGATTCTCTTGGCCGCATGTCTGCAAGATGGCTGCTACAACCCCGACATCATGTCCACGTTCGAGGCTGGAAGAGTGTAGGGGAGATGCCAGCTACAAATGTCCCGTTACCAGGAAAACAAAAGCATTTTCAGAAGCTCTTGAAAGACTTCTTGGTCTCAAGAGTTTGAACTTGGTCAGGTGGCCATGCCCAGCGGCAGAGGCGGCTGAGAACATTGGCACGGGGCTTTTCCAGCTTCCCTAGTGCTCGTTAGATTTGCCAGCCAGCAGCCTCCACTGTCTCTCGCCTCTTCCCGTCACCCTTCCCTGGCCCATGGGCCCAGAAGAGCCTGTGCTCTGGACCCATTTTGCCCTCTACCTGAGCAGGCAAAAAGTTCTTGTTGTGCAGGTGTGGAAAGGGAGGTGCAGAGAGAGGAAACGCTTCACCGCGGTCACGTGGGCAACGGGGGCACGGCCAAGACTAGAACCCCTGCCTGCCTTCTTTGTGGCCCAGTAGGGTCCCGGGTGAGGGAGCCAGGGCTGAGTTCAGACAGACCAGGGCCACATCCAAATGCTGCCATTTACCGACCATCCAGTGGCCTCATCCGTGCAAGGGGTTGATGAATGCCTTCTGCAGGGGGTCATTCAGATGAAAAGAGAGAACAGAGGACATTCTTGCTGAGGGTGGATGTCTCTCCCTCACATGTCTCGGGCCTGGTCTGCAATCAAGCATCTTCCCTCCGTCCTTACCCCTTACGAAAGTGGTGATGGGGAAGGACACGGCGGCGCCGCAGCGAGCTAGTGGCAGTGAAGTGGCCTGGGCAGACCCGCCCTCCAGGGCCTCAGCTGGCTTCCTCCATAACCTGGGGGAGGAGAGCTGTCCCTTGTGAGAGCGACCCCTCCTAGGGTTTCACTCTGGAGAGCCAGGGGCCACAGGCTCTGCCATAGCTAGCTGCAGGTGTTTTTTTCTCTGCGGGTCTGTTACTCCACCTGTAAAATGAGGACACTGGCTGAAGGATCTTTAAGGTCCCCTTTGGTTTGATCGTCTTATCTCCAGGCATGGGTCCTCTCCCAGCAATGTGGGATCTTGGACAAGCCCCTTCTCCTTTTGGGGCCTACAGAGCCTGAGGGTGGGGCAGCTCTCAACCTGGCTCTGTTCCAGGGGCAGGAGCCCCGGCTCCCACCTGCCCCGCCCCCCTCCCCAGATCCCTGTGGGAGCCCAGGGCCAGACAGGGGCACTCGTGCTAGACGAGGCTCCAGATGTGGTCCAGGCTGCAGGCGGCCTCCTGGCTAGAGGACAACCTCACATCAATCAGGGGTGACACACAGTTCAGCGCCACCGAGATCATCGTGGGAGACGGCGGGCCCATAAATCCCCGACTGCCCAGACACCAGAGGCTGAAATATGTCTGAGGCATTTCCCGGAGAGGGGCTGAGAGTTCCAGGCCTCTGCCTGCCATCTCTTCTCTTTCCCACCCACCGGCCGCCCTTTCCTCCCCCTCCATTGCCCCCGCCCCAGCCAGCACTGCGCCCCCCCCACACACACACGCAGGCTCTGATACACCCACACACAGAAAGTCACACCATCTTGGCCTGGAGGGCTGCAGGGGCCCACCAAATGGGGGGGTCACCTCCAGACTTGGTAAAGGCTAAAATCCCAACTCAACCACTGCAAACAACTTTACCTCTCAGAGCTTCAGTTTCCAAAACCGTAAAATGGGTTTAGTTGTGTCCACCTCACGGGATCACCGTGGGGAGCGAGTGAGGCTTTCTTCTCCGCAGTTCTGCCCCCCACCCCCACACACATACTGTCTTTCCCTGTCTTGCTTCTCCGCTTGATTTTCTTTCAGCCCACTCCAACACATCTTTCATTTTACCTATCTATTGCCCCCTTGCCCAACTAGAATGTAAGGTCCAAGAAGGCAGGAAGTTTGGGCTGGTGGGTTGGTTTTTTCCATTTCTTTTTCTGTGGTGCCAGAATAGTGTCCTGAACATAGTAGGCCATCAAGAAATATTTGTGAAATGGTTGAATGAATTACCTGGCACATGGTAAAGAGATCAGCAAATAGTACCTCTTCTTATGATTAAGAATATCCGTTCATTCATTCATACATTCACTGACCCATTCATTCATTCATTCATTCACTGACTCACTCATTCATTCATTCAGAATTCAGAATTCACAGCACCTGCCAAGCTCTGAGCCAGGCTGCAACGACAGGAGAAGGCCGGGTACCTGCCCTTGGGAACTCATAGTCTGATGGAGTTAAACGGAGAAACACACGTGAAACATCCCCATTAGGCTGCATAAGCATCTCCCGACTCTGCGCCTCAGTTTTCCCACACATCATCCTTTGCGTGGGGTCTCGGGGTGGTGGGGGCAGACTTCCTGCCCCTAAGGCCTCCAGCCGCTCCCTCCCTCCGTCCCCAGTTGTGCCCATGAACGTGAGCTGCTCCCGCACGGACTTCCAGATCCTGATCCCCGCACAGGCTCTGGCACCGCTGGAGCGGACCAAGGTCTACCTGGGCAGCCGCAGCTGTGCCGCCCAGGAAGCCGGCGGCACCTTCCGGATCCAGGCCCGCTTTGACACCTGCGGCACCGAGTCTCAGGTAGGGGCTGCGCAGGGGGGGAGGGCAGGCATGAGGGGGCGGGGTCTGACCCCTGCTGAGAGGCACCTGCCATTCCTGAGAATTCAGCTTCTCTTCCTGGCTCAGTGACCCCACAAGCCCGGATGCAGAACCCAACAAACTTGCTCAGTGTAGACATGACAAAGAACTCAAATGGGAGACAGAGAAGGGGGCCCCACTGAATAACCCAGCGACAAACCTATGGAAGGCTCCTCCTGCAAGGCCCTGACCCTGACCATCCTTGGAGGCCTTCCTGCCCTTCCTTCCCTTCTCCCGGGAGCTCCCCACCCCCCCAGGCCTCACCCCTTTCACATGCAGAGCTGTTGGAGCCTGGCTGCCTCCAGGGGCCCCTTCCCCAACCTGTGATCCAAATGGTCCCTGTGCTCCACAGAACAAAAGGGCCTTTCAAGTAACAGGATCCACTTCCCCTCAAAGGCAGTGAGGCTTACAAATGAATTCAGGTTTGGGGCCCTTGGAGTCGCTGGGCAGTGGCCCAAGCACCTCAGATGTCTGCATTCTTAGGGGCAGGTTAAAGGGAAAAGGAGAGATGCCCCCCCCTTCCAGGGAGAGCTCACCCCCACCCCCAAGCCTTGGTATCCAGGGATGTGCCAGACTGGCTTGGTAGAAATCATGCACTTTCCAGCAAGCCGTACCACCCTGCCCCCCACATTAGCCAAATGTCCACCTGGGGCCCCTCCAGTCCACCCCTCTGCTTCCCCAGCCTCTGGCAACCTCTATCCTTTTGACTTGAGGAGAGAAGTGGGGGCAGTCTTGGCTGCCAAGATGATCTGCCCTCACCCTGACTCCATGCCCTAAGTCCCCCAGGGATTTTCTGTGGACACTCCACAGGGTCATGAAATGACGGGGACAGAGAATCCCAGAGGCAGGGAACCAGGAAATGGAGAACAAGGTATCATGGACACTCAGAGGCTCAGAGGCATGCAACCACCACCATAACTCGGAGCCACAGAATCACAGAATCTTGGGGCTAATACCACAGAAACATAAAAGCTGAGAAACTTAGACTCCTGGATTCCTAGTGTCACCGTTATGCATCCTAGATCCTCGAGGACCATCTTTGAGAGCACTGAGCTGCTCTCAAAGATGCACAGCTCCAACAGCCCAAGGCAATGACCACCTTTCTGTGCATCTCTTTAAAAACACTGGAAACTTGATTTCATAACCATAACAGCACATCTTGTGTGGCTGGCTTTTCCCCTTCAAGTCTCTCACTCATCAAAAACCCCTAAAACTTCCACTTTCTGTGATTTTCTTCCTCCCTTCTTTATCATGTGGACTGACTTTACTGGGTCCCCTTCTACTCACAGGCCCCGTCTCTCTTTGTCCAGGGTCTCAATTCTGTATCACAAAAATCCAGGACACCAGTCCTCCTCAGAGGGTTTGGGGGCAGACAGGTTGAGGGCACAAAATCAGAAGCCTCCTTTGGGGGCATGGAATCAGAGCCTTTCGGAAGCCCATTTGAAACTCCCTTTCACAGCCTTCCCCAGAGGGGTGGCCCAGTGTCCAGGGACAGCAGCTTCCTACCGTTCCTGCCTGCCCGCTCTGTCACCTGTGTGTCGTGTGACCTCAGACAAGGGATTTAACTTTTGGGCCTCAGTTTCCTCATCTGTGAAATGGGGATATTAATGGTACCAATAAGAGAGTCATAGTGAGAATGAAATGAGACAACGCACTTAAAACAGAGCCTGGAACATGGCAGATGGGCCTGCTCTTGCTGTTATTGTCTTTCATAGACCCCGCCTCCTTAAAGCCAGAGCAAACACGGACCCATCAGACATCCCCATAGTGTCCCTTTTACAGGAGGAGACACTGAGTTTCCAAGCGGGAAGGGAGTCGGTGGTCAAGCTGGCACTAGAACCCCAGGCTCCTGGGGTTCTGCCCCCTTGGCACAGAGTCCCTACATATCTAGGGGCAAAGGGTCAGCCCCGGCCCCTTCAGGTGTGAGTGAGTGCCCCGTGACCCCCACAGCGGAGGAACAACACCTCAGTGATTGTCAGCATGCTGTACATCGACTTCTCGGCTGGCGGGCAGGAGGACATCCATGAGTATGAGGTCCGTTGTGAGCCACGGCGCAAGGAGGCTTCTGTCCACCTGCTATCTGGCTCCAACCGGCTTGGGCCCTATGCCGCCACAGCTGAGCATCTTCAGGAAGCGCCACCCAGGGATGAGGTGGAGGCCCTGGAGGGCCCTGTGGCCATGGTGCCTCAGGACACCAGTGACATTGTCTTCCTGGGCCTTTGCATCCTGGCCGGAGCCCTCATGGTCGTTGCCATCGTGGTCCTGATGCTGCTGTGAGGGGGGCAGGGACCTGGATGAGGGCTTCCCTGGGAGGCAGCTTGGGGTCCCCACAACAGGGGCAGGGCCGGGTGTTGTCAACTTGTTGGTGGCCATGGGCAAGTCATTGTCCCTCTCTGAGTCTCACTTTCCTAGGGAGGATCCGTGTGCCCTCCTTACCTCACAGGGCTGGCTTGAGGCTCAGAGAAGAGCCTGAATGCATAAGAACTTTGTCAACTCTGGCATGTCCTGTGTGTGTGCAATTGTTACTAATTTCAAAGTCTGCTATCGGAAAGAAGTCTCCCGTGTGTGTTACTTGTCAACGTGGATAGCTGTGGCCCCTGGTGACAGAGGGTAAAACTGAAGTTCCCTAAACGCACAAGGGCTTCACTGACTTGGGATAAAAACAAGGGCATCTCTTATTTTTCCAACTAATCGCTTATCACAAGCTTTCATCGGCTGGAAGCTCAGTAACCATCCAGGGGCCTCCACGCTCCAGAACCGACTCAGGAACCCTGAGGACTTTTTCCACAGCGGGCCCCTCCTGCCTCCAAACTCCAGGAACAGAAAGGGTGCTGACACCCTACCTGGTGCCGTCATCCCAGCCTCCGCCAGGTGGTGTCGCTGTTGGCGGCTGGTTGTACGCATCCAGGCGGCTCGGGTCTGAGGAGGGGGCAGCGCTGTGCAGGCCCACACTGTGCTGGGCAGGGAGACTGCAAGCTGAGGACTGGTGCCTCTTTCACGGTGGTGTTTTTCCTTACCTAGATGGGGATCCTTGACTGAAAAGCTGATCGAAGTCCCGTGTGTCTTTGTCCACACCCGCGATGTCTCCCCTCAGATGAGTTCTCTTTGGAGACTGGGGGCCTTCTCCTGCCATCGGACCTCACTCAGAGCTACTCCAGCACCCCCGTGTTTCTCTAAGTTTACACCATGGGGAGCGGGGGTTGGGTTTCCAGTGCTTTCTTGTGAGAAGTGCTCTGGCATCCTCCTAAAGATTGGTCCAGCCCTCCCCAGAGCTCTATGGATCAGGAAGTGGAGCAAACTTGTTAATGAAAAATAAACAACCACAAAAAAATGCAGTTACAGTAACACCACTTTCCCCTGGGCCTTTGCATCCTGGCCGGAGTCCTCATGGTCGTTGCCATCGTGGTCCTGATGCTGCTGTGGGGGGGGGGCCAGGACCTGGGTGCAGGCTTCCCTGGGAGGCAGCTTGGGGTCCCCACAACAGGGGACCCCAATATTTGCTAATGAATCCCTCACAATCAATAGAAATCTCCACATGGACCATGCTGACCATTGGTATCACTTAAACAAATTGTAGCCCAATTACAGTTCCTTCAACCACCCAACCAACAGCCACTTGTTTCCAGCTTTGTCCCCACTGTCGTGACAGGCTCCAAGCACGCAGCAGCGAAGAAGTCAAATGAGATTCCTACCTTCAGGATGCTTGCTTACATGCGGTGTAGCAGTGTCAGGGGATGGGAGGCAGACAGTTGGTAACTTGCAGAGAAAACAAGAGAGAAAAACGCCAGCAAAGTAAAAAATGAATTAAGCAAGGGAAAAAGAGTTACCTGGACATGAAGAGAACTGAGCTCAAGTCCAAGTTCTTCTTATTAATTGTGTGAACCTGGGCAAGTCACTTTGATTGTATGAGCCTCAATATCTCCATTTGCAAAATGGGACCACTGTTTGTAGCGTGCTGTGAGAACGTAGCAACACGATGAACTAGGGAAGTCTGGCAGGGTGATGTGCCAGCAGGGGGGTCTTAACTGACACCCTGGCCTGTTTGGAGCAGAGGCCCCTTCCTCTTTTGCTCCCAGCCACCTTCTCCTTCTCAGATTCCTCCAGCCCCTGAGCTAACTTTGCCAGCCTACCAACCACCTGGGTCTCAGTTTCTCTGGACAGGACTTGTCACACACCAGATCCTCTTTGAGGGCATCCCACGGGGTCTACCTTCCTGCCTGCAAATTGGGGGTGATGGTAATAACACCTGCTTTGTCAGTTCTGTGGGGGGACTACATGAGATCCTGCATGACAGTGCCCGGCTCCTGAGAAGGATTCAACACACCTCAGTGACTACCATTGACCACTGAGGAGTTCATGCAAAAGTTCTGGCCTAGAAACCCAAATTCTCAGCCCAGCTAACTTGCTGTGTGACCTTAGGGAGACCACTCCCTTCTCTGGCCTCAGCTTTCTTTCTTTCTTTCTTTCTTTCTTTCTTTCTTTCTTTCTTTCTTTCTTTCTTTCTCTTTCTTTCTTTCTTTTAAGATTTTATTTATTTATTTGACAGAGAGTGAGAGAGGGAACACAAGCAGAGGAGTGGGAGAGGGAGAAGCAGGCTTCCCATGGAGCAGGGAGCCTGATGTGGGGCTCGATCCCAGGACCCTGGGATCATGACCTGAGCCGAAAGCAGATGCTTAATGACTGAGCCACCCAGGCGCCCCTCTGGCCTCAGTTTCTGTTTTTAACATGTGACAAGCATCATTATCACCTCTGGCACCGCCACTGTCATGCCGACTGCCCAGAAACGCCAACTACGCGGCAAGTCAAGTTGTAGATCAGCTCACATAAGCTGCCTGGTGAGGCAGAAAGAATTGCCCCCATTTCACAGATGAGGAAACTGAGGTTTGGGGAGGGAAAACGCCTTACTCAAGGACACAAGGTGATGAAATGCTGGAGCTAGGCTGAGAGGAGGCAGTTCTTCCCTGAGCGGGGGATTGTGCAGTGAGTAGGGGCCTCTTGGGACCCCAGACCCTGCTCTTAAACCCAAGGGCTTTGTCTGGTTGGGAAAGGACTAGAATGGCCGACAGGGAGAAGAGGGGCTTATCTTCACGGCCGTGTCCAGATCCTGCCACTCAGCCCTCTGGGCAGCCGGCGTGTTGATTATCCTGCCTGAGCCGTAGGAAATGACAGTCTTTATGACAGTACAGTGTCTATTAGAAATGAGAGGGCTGAAATGATACCCATTAGCCAACCCGCCCGGCCCTGGAGGAGTGTCTGGGCATGGTGGACATGGCAGGGCTTTCCTGTTCACCTACCAGTGTCCCCTTTGCAGAGAGTGCGGGGATGGAACCCCCGCGGCCTCCCCATTGGCTATGTGGCCTTGGGACTGCCTCCCCCCAGCCAGGAACTTTGGGTCCTCTCACCAGCCCATCCCTGCAGGGCCAAGGTTACTGAAGAGGAGCTCCTCAGCAAAGGGATGTGCTGGCCCTGGGAAAATGCCTTCTCGCCTATGGGTTGGGCAGACCTGGGTTCATTTCCATTCTTTCCCTGACCGTGTGACCTCGTGCAAGTTGCTTCACCTCTCTCAGACTCGGTTTCCTCATGTATGGAACAGGGACACCAAGACCCTCCCCGCGAGGTCATCGTGAGGACTTTGAGAACGCAGGGAGAGAGCGTCCACACGGGGCTTCCACCTGCACAACTCAGGATGGGGCTTGCTGGCAGCCCCCGGCCAGCCGAGGGCCCCTTCTCCTAGGAGCCCTCAAATCTCAGAGTTGGGAGGGTCTCCCCGGACGCCCAGCTTCCCTGCTGTTCTTCAAGAGACCAAGGTGTTCCCACCACCAGCCTTCCTGTCTCCCGGTCCCTCTGTGTGGAATGTCCCCAGAGCATTGCTGGCCTGGCTCCTTCACAGCCCTCTCTGCCCAGTGGCCCCCAGACTGCACTCCACCCCTGTCACTTTGTACGCCTTTGCCTGCCTTCATAGGGTGTATTGCCCTCCGAAATGGTGTGAGGTGTGTGTGCGCTTCGCCTGCTTGCACCCAGTCCCCGTCACCACGATGCGGGCTCCCCTAGCCCCAGCCCCGCCAGAGCCCGGCCCACGTGCCCTGCAGCGTCTGGGACCGGGCAAGGGGACAAGCTCATGGACGGATGCCCCAGCTTGACGCCACTCTGTTCGCCAAGTCCCATGTGTGTGGCCGTCTTGGTCCTCTGGGGCGGTCCGAGTCGAAGCATTTCCCGAGCATGTGCTCTGCGCTGCCCTGTGCACAGACACGGCCCTCCCTCAGGAGCCCACCGTCCACGGGGAAGAACCAGGCGTCTCAGGGTCAGGAGACGTGCTCCCTGGAGGGACACAGCCTGCCGGGGGACCCCTCACCCTCCCCCTGCCCTCCAGTCTCCCCGTGATGCCTCAGGCTGAGCCCAGAAGGACGCGGTCTGTGTGGTCAGCCTCCCCAGGACACAGAGCAGGGTGGAAAAGACAGAGAGTGGATCTTGACGGGCGTAGGGGGACCAGCACAGAAATAAACAGTGTTTTCCTCTTGAAGGCTTTTGGGAACAAGACAGGGTTTAAACTGCTGACTCAGCTTGGGTAAGTGAGAAAGGAGCCCAGAGGGATGACTCGTGCTGCCCGGAAGACGGGTCAGGCAGAGGAGAGGGAATGGCATTCCAGGCACGGGGAACAGCATGTGCTAATGCAAAGAGATGCAGAAGAGTATGTCACGATAAGGACGGGAAGAGGGCTGGGAGGTGTGTTGGGGTGAAGCTGGGAAGCAGGATGGGAAGTTACTAATTAGGGCACCTGGATGGCACCAGCAGCTTCTCTCAGAACAACAGTGGAAGCAGCCCTCTGTGTCCTTGGCTTCAGAATGAAGACACCTGCCAGGATCCAAGACCTGGCTCCGGCTTTGCCACTAGCTTTCCTCTAACCAAGTCTCAGTTTCCTCATCTGTCAACTGGGACAACAGCTGGAGCATTTGCTGAAATGTACTCTCCGGCAGGCATTGTTCAAAAAGGGTTTTGTACTTCTGTTCACATTTAATTCTCTAAACAGTAACAATTATCATTCCCTCTAAGAAACAGTCGAGGTGGGATTCAACCCCAGGCAACAGATCTGGCTGCAGAGCCCGGACCTTCTAGTGGAGCAGGTGAGGGGCGTCCATAGAAACAGGTCACAACTGTCACTTGTAGCTGTAACAAGAGGCGTGTTCAAGAGTAATCCTGAGCACTTCGGTATTCTCAGAATCTAAGCACTTTCCACAAGTTAGTTGATTCAGTCCCTGTAACGTTCCTAGGAGGGGAGT